ACGAAACATTGAAGCGTAAAGCTGCTATTTTACGCTGGTATTCTGTGAGAGCGTGGTCCTTCCCTGGTCGGTTACTCTGGCAACTATTATTTATTATGTGACTCTGGTTCCACTGGGAATATCATCACATATCGTATATTCATCACTAGTTGTCCACTGTAGTTTTCAAATTTTAAGGTAAACTTGATGAAAACTTAATGTACATTATTTGTTAAACTCAAGCATATGTCACATTACATGTAAAACTAATTAAGTTAGTAATTTAAAATAGTGCAGTTAGCCATAATAAAAGACGAAACATACCTTGAAAGTTGAATGCACCAGTATTTATTTCTTAGAATTCACATAATCAAGTATTATATCAATTAATTATCATGAGCACTGAAAATCTCCAATAGAATAGAATAGAATAATAGCAAAGAATAAGTTGTCATTCAAAATGGATTACAAGTAGTGGTACCCAATAAGAATTGGGTATTTTATTTTTGTTTTACCATTGCTTTGACAAAAATCTTTGTCCTGTAAACAACGAGCAAGAAACACAGCGGGACTTTTTTGAAGTAATATTTTGCAATAAAATATAGGTTGTACAAAATATTTACAAAAATTATTTGGGAAACAGCGTGCAAGCGACTACCTTATTTCCAGTGGTCATATCAACCATGTTGTAAACAGTTTTTGTTTAATAAAATATATAAACTAGGTAATAATAATCTGCCATTAATGCTGGTATTCCGTGAGGGTCTATCAAACCCACCCATTCATTCTACAATGACTACGTACTAAATGCAGCGTGTAGAGCCACGGATGCTCGCATGAAATATAATTTTTTTGGAGTTGTCTTCTTCGCACGACTTCTTTGTGGAATCGTTCACCACCGGCGATTTTTTTCGGATCGATATAACGCGCCTCCAATTCCCATGGTGCTGCAGTTGTTCATGGGCAGCAGTCGACTTCTACTATAAGGTAAGCTGCATGCTCATTTGACGTTTGCCTCGTCGTCTAAAAACAATTATCTCGAGCGATGGCTGCAACAACTGCGTAGTGCAGCAACTGCGTAGTGCAGCATTTATTAATTGCCTGATTGGAAACTGCGCACATAAATATAGTTATAACTATAGAGTTATTTGAACTACGTATTAGAGAAGCTATTCCAAACAAAAATTGTGCGCTTCTCTATGTCTTCGCGCATGCGCGGGAGATAGTACAGTCGCGCATGTGCGCAGACTAATCTCCGTAATGGCTGGCAATGGTTGGGCCGATTTTGACGAGACTTTCACCGACAGATACCTGATTTTATAAGGAGTAACTTAGGGTACTTTTAATTTAAAAAAGAATTAGGGTTCCGCGCAAAATAATTAAAACCCTAACCCTAACCCCTTACAAGCGGGCGAAGTCGCGGGGAACAGCTAAATATAACAATTTAAAACAAAATACTAATATATAATATATATAAGAATTTAATATAAAATACTCTTATTTTAATCTAAACAAACATAATATCTCTAAATAAAATGTAATAATAATTATCTTATGGAATTGACAAATCTTCAATTTACGCAATATTTAGTTTAGTGTACGGATTGCAGGACAGATCAGTTGAGCATAGTCAATGTTCGGAATGCGAAATCTAGTGCGTAGTACATATATACTATCGACGAATATCGATGGTCATAACATCGTTACACAGTTTAGACACTGTCGTAAGCAAGCATAATTGGTTATCGTCTAGGCGGGACCCACGCTCTTATTGGTATTGGTAATAATATTCGTTGTTTGCTTCAAGCAAACAACGAGTATTATCATTATTAAAAATTATTTTGTAAATTTATGCTTAAAATTCCCGCTGGGTTCCTTGCTGGTTGCACCTAGAACAGAAGTTTATTATCTGAACCAATGGTAAAACTAAAAATGACTTTCTGAAAGAGTGACAAATTCAAACAGGTCTTTTAATAAGCAATAATTTTAATAATAATCAATATATGAATAAAATTTTCTATCATTAATATGAGTTCATGGCCGTGTAAGAAAAGGGAAGTTCTCCCGCCAGACAAGCTGTTTAGCTTGCGAAGCGGCCAATGCTTCTTGTTGTTTTTTTTTGGAATAGGGTGAGAAATGTGACCTATACACAGCCACATCTATCCTCAACTAAGAATCAAATGCAGGTACGTTGTCACCCCTGACGACTAAAATGGAATGCCTCGTTTCGAACAATAAAGGTCTCCGGTTCTCTACATTTACTATACGAAACAAAGCAGCATTAACCTGCTATTTCGCGCTGGTATTCTATTAGGGCGTGGTTCTTTCCCGCTCGAAAGGACCCATTCTTACTAACTACTATAGTGTGGTTGCAAAATGGCTCCACCACGTAAAAAGACGTTTGCGGTATTACAGAGCACTTCGAAGTACACCGGAGTACTTCCAAAATTTCGAGTGTGTGATTTAAAGCGCAGGTTGAGCAAAATGTCGCGCTAGTCGTTATTTGTGCGGTTTTTAGGAGCTAACTACTTTTTATTTAAAAGATATATCAACAAATAAAAAACACATTATATTTCTACATAATCTTGATTCCATAAAAGCTATATCCAATTTTTTTTAAACGAATAAATATTAATATAATCTCCTTACAACGAAACCACATAAATGTGAAATTATTATTGATAACATGCATCTCCTCGTAAAGTAAGTATTATTTTATTTTGCGGTTTACACCACTGGATAGGCAATTTATCAATGAACATTTCCATAGTTTATTTTTTTTCAAAAGACCAAAATTTGATTTTATTATGAAATTATTTTAAAGTCTGGGCATATTCACTGCTCACGGGCTTGCTGAAGTCAGTGAGCCCTGAGCTCTTCGACGTGAAGCCCGAGTCATTAGAGCGTCGACCAGCGCAACTCACGTCATATCAGTCGATAATAATATTACTTATTAGGTTATTTATAGGTAGTATTATTTGTTTGTTTTGGGTATAATTTTTCGTATTAGTTATACATACATTTGTTGTGGTTTTTACTGCGCGATGAAGCTTTTTGCGTGTATTTTCTTTGAAGTAAATGCAAATAAAAAAATTAAGCACCATTAGTATGTAAGATTCGTATCCATAATTAAAATTTCGACAAATATTATAATTTACACTATAAAAGGCTAATTCAATATTATCACCCAACCACAAAATCTTATTAGGTATAGTACTGCCTCGTTGGTCTAGTGGTTGTAGTAGTGCGACTGCTGATCATGAGGTCCCGGGTTCGAATCCTGGGTTGGGCCAAAAAGTCAGTTATGAGTTTTTCATTTATGTTCTAAGTTAAATTAGTATTACTAAGTTATAGTTTTTTGCTAAAATATAGTCTATTATTTATTGCTTGTTTTTTCTTCTTCTTCAAAAAATAATTGAGTAAATAAGGTGTTCTATACTTATGATTCGGTAAAAAGTATCTAAGTAGGTACTAATATACATACTTTTTACTATTAACTAAAAATTTTTAAAACTAAATTTAACTAAAAAGACTAAACTGACCATTTATTTTTTAACTCAAAACAGGACATGGGTTTATTCATACTCTAAAAACTATAACTTTATACAATTAGTGTTCACTATAAAATTATATTCGGTATAGACGGTAATTATTAAATGCAACATATTTTTTTTAATTATTAAATTTATTTGTCAGTGGATTAAATTTGCTTTAATAAAGTTGGTGATGATTTTAAATAAGAATAAAATTCTGCTCAAGTTTTTTTTTATTGTTATCTTTGTTAACAACATCGCCTTTAGAGCTCTGGAACCGTAAGTATTTCTTTCAGACGTCCACAATTTATTCAAAATAAAAAAATAATCTTTCTACCGGAGCATTCGTACCAGGTAGACATAAAATATATTCGATTAAGAAAAATTATGTTGAAGATTGTTGACTTTGAATACTTCCTTCCAACGAGTTACGGGACAATTTTGTGTCCCGGAGCTTTGTTTGGGGACAATGGGACATCAATCATTGGGGCGAAGATAATGTCTGCCAGCATAAGTAATAAGCAGGATAAGTTACAAGGTGCTCAGTTCAAAAATTTATAGGTAGGTATGTTACTTTTCAATACGTGACACGTAAAAATTAACAATAATCAAAAACACATCTACGAAACATCCTATTTATTTATTTATTCTTTATTGCACCAAATATTTGTACAAAAGCCGAGCTATCTATTTATTTACCTATAGTGAATAGGTATCTTTTAAACTCACAATTTTCAATGCTTCATTTTTAATATATAATTAATTATAAAATTTCATAATTAGATAATATATGAAAATACATAATTATAATATAATGCAACTAATATACTGAATAAAAAAATTAAAATACATTTATCGTTGTACGCTGTGTGTATTTCCATAAATTAGTTCATTGATGTTGAAAAAATAATACTGCGTTCTTACCTACAATAGGTGGCGTCTTATATATTTCGTATTAAGCAATATACTGAAGCGAGCGGCGCGGCCGGCAAAATGCTCAAGGTTGTTCGCATGAAGTAGCCCCTTAATATCACTGCTGGTTTTAAGTTAAATATTTTCATGATTTTTTTTTTATGAAATTATCGTTTTATTTAGCTGTACTAACATGATGGGCGTGAATAAATTTAATAAAACGTTGTGAAAAGGTGATTTTTTCCTCGGGATCGAATTTCTTTCTGACCCATCATCAAAGGTATCGTTAGTACTATCGTCTGTCTTCATCTTCGGGAGCGTTTCACTAATCCCGGTATGTCTACGTATCTGAAGATTCTTCTCTTTTGGACATTGTTATCGATATGTTATGTAATCAGGAGGTCTTGTACCATCCGGTTTAAAGATCAGAATAACCTGGCAATCCAGGTTATTCTGATCTTTGAACCGGATATTTTGAAAGTTAATGCTTAGAAAGTTCTATGTTCTTTTTATCGAGTATAAAAGCGTGTGCCGTCACTCAGAGAGTTAATAATAAAAGTCCCGCACGTAATAATATTATTGTATAACAGGGTATGTGTTGGTTGGTGGTTGGTACCTGAGCATGTCTCGTGGCAGCCGCACGTACGCCGCGTGCGCCTGCAGCGCGCCCTGCACGCACTTGGAGAGGTCGCGCAGGTTGAACGCGTAGTGCGCGCGCGCAGGCGTCGGCCGCAGCGCGCCGCGCACGCGTTCGTACACCGACACGCACGCGCGCACCAGCGCCTCGCCCAGCGACTGCACTTCGCCCACGAAGTCCTCCAGGTGCCCGCACAGGATCGCCTGCGCAACGCACATCACACACACCCGTCACTGCCGTTTACCATTACGTATTACAGAAATATGTTATTTGTTTGCTGCATTCTTCACTTCCGGAATCTTCGTCAGGTTTTCTCGTCACCCATCGCTTAAATACGTAAGTTTTCGACCAGTGCGTCTCGCCTATACTTAGGTTCCTCCTAAGGAAATACCGCGTTCCAGTAAAAAGTGTCTCCGGTTCTCTATATTCACCATACGAAACACAGCAGGTTCAATTTACACCGAATACATTATGTACGTGTTGGCATTTTACATTAAAGTTTTTCTTTGAGCCAGTACATGTACGAACGCCAACAAGGTTTCGTGTGCTGAGATACCTAACATTTGTAAACATTATAACAATAAACATTTTGTGCTTAAACAGTATTTTAGGTAACATTTACATCAAAAGGTGTTAAATATCACAACACAGCAGCTATTTTAGCTCATTAAGATGTTATTTAACACTGCTATTTTGTGAGAGCGTGGTCCTTCCCCGGTCGTGTTAACGCATTCCTGTTACAACTATAATATAGTCGCAGTGTGTTATGCAGTACAACATGTGTTAAGTACAGTGAAGAGTGTGTGTGGGTGCAAGGAGGCTGTGTACTTTGAATATGGTGTCCATGGAGAGCGCGTATGGCGGCGTGAGGTGCAGCACGGCGAAGTGGCGCGCGCTTTTTTAATATAAAAGGTCGGGAAAATGTTTTTTCGTATTTTATATACAATTTTAAGATAATTTTCAAAGTTTAATTACATGTAATTAATATATATGTGCCATTTTGTTCGATAACTTGTTGCCATCTAGTAGTAGGATTTTTGATTAAAAAAATGCGACAAGTAGTTTTGACAGTTCACTCTTGATGTCAAGCTAACACTACCCTAAGAATTCTCAAGAGATTGAAACAAGAGGGTATGACGGCCGAAGGTTAGGACTATTAGGTGGGCTGAAAAGTTCGTATCATTTCTATGAGATGGCACCACTAGAATCAAATCCATAAAATTTTTAGTTAGTACAACCTTCAAAAGAAACGTGTATAAATTTGGCAGCTGTCTGATTATTAATTTGTGAGATACAGCATTTTGAGCGAAGTAACTTTTGTTATTTAAAAAAAATGAATAAAAAGGAATTTCGTGTGTAAATGAAACACTATTTGTTGATGAAAAAAAAAGTGCTGCTGATACCACAAAGTGGCTTGATGAGTGTTATCCGGCCTGCGCCGGGTGAAACAACCATTCGTAAGTGGTTTGCTAAATTACGTACAGGCCATATGAGCACCGAAGACGATAAACGCAGTAGACGTCCAAAAGAGGCTGTTACGGACGAAAACATCAAAAAAATCCACAAAGTGATTTTGGAAGATCGTAAATTGAATCACTCTAAAGGAACGTGTTCGACATATCGTTCATGAATATTTGGGTATGCGAAAGCTATGTGCTTAGTGGGTGCCGCGCGAGCTAGCAATCGACCAAAAACAAGAACGTGTCGATGCTTCTGAGCAATGTTTGAAGCTGTTCAACCGCAATAGAAGTGAATTTTTGCATCGATATGTAACAATCGATGAACCATTGATCCACCACTACACTCCGGAGTGCAGTCTGCAGTCACCTGAGTAGACTGCACGCGATGAACCGAATCCAAAGCGTGAAAATACTCAACAGTCGACCGGTAAGGTTATGGCGTCCGTAATTTGGGATGCACATGGAATAATTTTCATCAACTATCTTGGAAAGGGATAAACCATCAACAACAACTGTTATATAGCATTATTGGAGTATTTGAAGGAAGAAATTGCGAAAACACGGCCGCGTTTGAAGAAGAAGAAAGTGTTGTTCCATCAAAACAACGCGACGTGTCACAAATCGATGGCAAAATTGCATGAATTGGGCTTCGAATTGCTTCCGCATCCACCGTATTCTCCAGACTTGGCCCCCAGGGACTTTTTCCTGTCCTCAGATCTCAAGAGAATGCTCGCTGGAAAGAAATTTAAAGCCGATGAGGAAGTAATCGCCGAAACAGAGGCCTATTTTGAGGCTGAACACAAATCGTACTACAAGAATGGTATTGCAAAGTTGAAAGACCCCGATGGCAACTGTGTTGAATAATAAAAAGGAATTTTGCCAAACAAATGTGTTTTTCTTAAAAGATTACAAACTTTTCAGCCTAACTGTTATGTGGTAGGTGCATTCACACTTCCCAACAATGCTTTCTCAATTTTTGCCGAGTAGCCAATGACGTGTGTGGTCTGGCATTATCATGAAGAAAGACGATCACTCATTTTCTGTTGATCGATTCCGGCCGTATTTTCTCAGTTTCTGGCATGAGTTTCATTAGTTGTTGACAGTAGAGATTCGAATCGATGGTTATTCGCGGCGGTAAAAGTTCATAATAAACGATGCCTATCCAGTCCCACCACACAATTCACACAATACACAGCATCACCTTATTGCGTGTTAATCCGATTTTCCTACAGTCTGTGGAGCTTGGCTACCCTTTGACCATGATCATTTTTGCACTTGTCGTCGATGATCCATTTTTCATAACCAGTGATCCAATCTTTTCAAAAATGGCTCGATTTCATTATGTTTCGATCGAGAATCGCAAATGAGTACACGATTCATTAGGTTTCTTTCAGTGTGGTACCGAGCTTTTTTGTACAGCCAGACTTTGTCAAATGGGTCAGAACTGTTTTGTGATCAATCTTCAATTCCTCGGCTATCTCGTAACTACTAATATGCCGATCTTGCTTCACTTTTCAAAAATTGCATCGCCTTTATCCGTATGAGGGCGACCAGAGCGAGTTGCATCTTTGACATCAAATTCTCGGACTGAAAACGCTTGAACCAACTTTGTGCTAATAAATTTCTAATCAAATTTTTAATTGATCAAGGTATGACCAGTAGTTTTCGAGTTAACCTTAATAATTTATATCGAAGTCAGTCGTACAAAATTTTTAATTTTACCACTTATAACAGAACTTCCGAGTGTATCAAATTTCTTCGTTAGATTCACTCATTTTGGCGAACAGAAAGTCAATTGGAAAATGGCGGGGAGGGTGTTTTTTTTTACTTTATATTTTTATTTTTCTTAATATCCTATAAATGGAATCCGTTTATAATGACATCGAAGGAAAATAACAAACACGTCATACTAAGCGGACGTCATATAAAGCATTTTGTAGAAAATAAATAATCTCCAGTTTTTGTTAGTATCATTGATTTATATGTTACTAACTCAATGGTTAGTATGTATTTATTTTAATAGAGATAAATCTTTAATTAAAGTAACTTAAATTCTTAATAATAAATTCTTGTTTTTAAAAATCATTGAGATTGTGGTGTGACCAACCCCAAATTCCCTTGCGAGAGATGAGTTGGATTCTCAATTTTTTAAACTGCACGTGTACTGACGTTGAGATTTCTATTTTTTTTTCACAAATCACTAACAAACAATGCCGTGACCTTCAACAATCAATTACCCACTGTGGCTCGAAACAAAAAAAGCCATGCACGCGTTGTACGTGGTCGGGTATCAATTGACTCTCCTGAACACTGCCGAAGATGTAAAAATGAGTCACAATAAGCGACATGTCACTATAAGCGAAGTCATTATATTCGACCTTACTATAAAGAATTACATATGAAAACCAAACTTCGCTGTGTAATTACGTGATAATAAGTGGTTGGTCAATATAAGCGGAGTCATAATAAACGGATTCTACTGTATATATAAAACCAGCCAGACAAACATTACAATTGTTACGCGCCACTATTAATGTCTTGTACATGGCAACACTAGTTACACTAGCGCCCCCTAGTGTCGAGTAAATGAAAGTATTGCGCGCCACTATTAATGTCTTGTACATGGCAACACTAGTTACACTAGCGCCCTCTAGTGTCGAGTAGCAGAACTAGGAGAGTCGAGATCCTTCCAGAAATTTCGGGACCGATATGTACTCGAACATTCTAGATGTCGCTACAGTAGAAGGTTCTGGAAACTATCTGAGGCCCTATATAAGGCCGGTATAGACCACGACCGGGGCAGTATTGAATTGGCGATACAAGAGAATACTTCGAAGCGAAATAACGGCGAACTGTGTTTTATTATTAGTGTGATTTTAGATTGTAATTAGTGTTGTGTAATTAAAGTGTCAATTTTGGTAATTCAATCGGCAGTTTTTAATTGTCTCGAACCCCAAGCTCGTAACAATTGGTGTCAGAAGTGGGATCAAATATGCCGATTTTACCTAAAGACGACACGGAGGGTATCCGTACCCGAAGTCAACGCCAACAGGAGACGGACCAGAGACGATTTGGTAATGCAACGCCGCAAACGTCGGAGGGCCAGTTGCTAACCACGGAGGCTGGCCCGTCAGCAGCTCCTGCATCTGCAGCACCTGACTTAGGTGCTCTGATGATGATGCTGCAGGATCAGGCTCGCCGACAGGAGGAACAGGCCCGCCGACAGGAGGAACAGACCCGTCGGCTGGAAGAGCAGCTGCAGCGCGGTATGGAAGAACAGATGCTCCTCAGGAAGGACCTTCACGCTACCTTCGGGAAAGAGATAAAGGAGGTGAAGGATAGGGTTGCTCAACATGACAACCGCCTGTCGGAAGCTGAAACCCGAATCGACCATGTGAACAATCGGGTTGACAACGTGATGGCTGATGTGAAGAAAACGCTGGACGACCTCAAACTTGGGGATGGAGTTACAGCTCCCGTGGTAGCTACAACACCTTCGCTACGTGGATTCAAAGTGCCACCGTTCGACGGGACTTCTTCCTGGTCGGCCTATAAAATCCAGTTCGAGGCTGTCATGAAAGCGAACGGCTGGAATAAAAGTCAGGCCATGACTGCTCTCACCCTAGGCCTGCGCGACCAGGCATTAACTGTTCTGGAAGCTCTCGGTAAGGAAGTGACTTACGAGCAGCTCCTTGAGGCATTGGAGGCGAGATATGGCGACGCTCACCTGGAACACGTCTTTCGTGCGCAGCTCAAAGATCGCGTGCAATGCAGTAACGAAAACCTGCAGCAGTGGGCCCTTGAGGTGGAGAAGCTGGTTCGAAAAGCGTACCAGTCTGTACCTGCGCTTATTGTAGGGAACCTGGTGCAGACATTCATCGACGGCATCCGCGACCTTGAAGTCAGAGCTGCTGTGAGGCTCGGGCACCACGAGACGCTTAAGGACGCCTTGACCCATGCACTGGAGGTGGAAGCCGTGCGGCAGGATCATCGTTCCCACCGCGTCAGGGAGGTTGCAGCAGCTAAAGTTCAGGACCGCAATAAAAGCTACAGCCCTAGGTGCTACGGCTGTGGAGAAAGGGGCCATCTTCGATCCAGCTGCCCTAAGCGAACTGTAAAAAGGGAAGGTGATCGATCTCGAGAGGGTAGTGCGGATAATAGCACCGCCCAGCAGCAGCAGGGAAACTGGCGGGTGCTGGCTGATGTTAAAAGAGCCCCAAGGATTTCGATCTCACAAACTCATGATGGGAACAGCCTAATCATCAAGGGCGAAGTCAACGGAACGCCATGTAAACTGACCATAGACACGGGAGCCTCTCGCACGGTTGTCAGTTCCCAACTTATAAGTTCGTTCCTTGGTGACTCCGCATACAACCGAGAACGAATTAATTTGGTGACAGCCACTGGTCAGCGCATACCCGTCCGTGAAGAAAAGGAGATGGAGTTGAAGCTAGGCAACATGATCTACCTGCATAATGTCATCGTGGCTGATATAATGGACGACTGCATCCTGGGCCTAGACTTTATGAGGAAGAATTGTTGTGAGATCGACGTTAAGCAAGGTGTTTTGAAATGTGGACAAGAAGAACTTTTCATGGAAGGGGCGTTACCAGGAAATGTGTACAGCCTTAAGAAGATTGTTCTTCCGCCGAGATCGGAAACGATTGTGCCGGTTAGTCTTCCTCGGAGTCCTGGGCAAGCTCATCGTTGTGTACTCGTGGAAAGGGTAGACAATGACCTTCCATGGAAAGTGGCTCGAACCTTGGTCAGAACCATCGACATCTCAGGAGTACGTGTGTTGAACCTTTGTGATCAGGAACAGATTATAGAAAAAGGTACATTGGTTGGTACTAGTGAGGAAGTGGATTGGTTGCGTCGGTGCGAATATCTATCGACCGGGACCCCTAGCAAGGATGGACAAACGAGAGTGACCACACTTTTAGAAGACTGTCGCAGCGTTCTCTCCCCGAATGAAATGGTCAAGGCGAAGAAGTTGTTACTCAAGTACGCCAATGTTTTCTCGTCAAACGAAGCTGACATAGGAAAGACTGGCTTAGTTCAACACAAAATAAACACAGGACAAGAATTGCCTATTCGTCAGCGGCCAAGAAGATTGCCTGTAGCACGTGAAAAGGAAGTGGAAACCATGATTGAGGGAATGGTGAAGGATGGTGTTATTGAACCTTCATCTAGTCCATGGTGTTCACCTGTGGTGCTGGTAAAGAAGAAGGACGGCAGCATGCGGTTTTGTGTTGACTACCGCCGCCTGAACGACGTTACGAAGAAGGACAGCTATCCCTTGCCTAGAATTGATGACACGCTGGATATGCTCACAGGCGTAAAGTGGTTTAGTACGCTGGACCTGAAAAGTGGCTACTGGCAGGTTGAAATTGACCCTAAGGACAAGGAGAAAACTGCATTTTCCACAGGAAAGGGTCTGTGGCAATTTAAAGTCATGCCGTTTGGATTGTGCAATGCTCCAGCAACGTTTGAAAGGTTGATGGAGCTTGTACTTACCGGGCTAATTGGAGATGCCTGTCTCGTCTATTTGGATGACATCATCATCGTAGGCCGTACGTTTGAGGAGCACCTTCAAAACCTGGAACGCGTGCTCATGAAGATCCAGAGTGCCAACCTCAAGTTGAGTCCAAAGAAGTGCTCACTATTCAAACGGCAAGTTAGTTTTTTGGGGTATGTAGTGTCGGAAGAAGGTATCCGCACGGATCCAGAGAAAATTGCTGCTGTCAAGGAGTGGCCGGTCCCAAAAGACAAGACACAGGTTAGAGCATTTTTGGGTTTGTGCTCTTATTATCGGCGATTTGTGAAGAACTTTGCAGATATAGCCAAACCTCTGCACAAGCTAACCGAGGAGAAGCAACAATTCTGCTGGGATGAAAGTTGCGATATTGCATTCCAGGAGCTCAAGAACCGCCTGTGCAAAACACCTATTTTGGGGTACCCTGATGCGGGCAAGGAATTCATAGTTGACACAGACACAAGTGATATAGGACTTGGCGGTGTGTTGTCTCAACGGAATGGAGATCAAGAGATTGTGATAGCGTACTTCAGCAAGTCGTTGTCAAAGCCGGAAAGGAACTATTGTGTCACAAGACGGGAATTGCTTGCTGTGGTAAAGTCCTTGCAGCATTTTAGCAAATATCTTCTAGGGCGGAAATTCCACTTACGAACTGACCATGCTGCACTGAAATGGCTATTGCAGTTCAAAAATCCGGAAGGACAAGTTGCGAGATGGATAGAACTACTGCAGGAATACGACTTTGTGATCGAACATCGCAGCGGGAAATCTCATGGCAATGCAGATGCATTGTCAAGAAGACCTTGCCCTGAAGATTGCAAGCATTGTACTAGGCAAGAGGGTAAGGAAGTGGTATCTGTGAGAATGCTCAGGACAGACCAGCTCAGCAATGAGTGGAAGGACAGCCTACAACATGCACAGCAGGAAGATTCGGACATTAAGCCGATTCTGGAATGGATGAAGGCCAGTGCTCCTAAGCCCAAGTGGAGCGACGTCTCAGCAATGAGTTCGACCACGAAAAGCTATTGGGCCCAATGGGACAGCTTGCTGATTCAGGATGGAGTCCTGTGCCGTAAATGGGAAAATGGTCGGGGAGACAGGTGTCATTTGCAAATGGTTGTCCCTAAGGCTAAAGTGCCGGATATTCTACAGCTGTACCATAGTGGTTGTTCAGGAGGCCACCTGGGAGTTAAACGAACTCTCCTGAAGATCCGAGAACGGTTTTACTGGGTCCACTGTCGTGACGATGTCGAGGACTGGTGCCGCAAATGTACAAGTTGTGCGGCTGTAAAGGGACCTCAAATTCGTAGTAGAGGCGCATTGAAATTGAACAATGTTGGTGCACCATGGGAGAGGATAGCCATTGACGTTGCGGGGCCGTTTCCAGAAACTGAAAGTGGTAACAAGTATTTCATGGTAGTGATGGATTACTTCACTAAGTGGCCAGAAGTCTTCGCCATTCCAAATCAAGAAGCTTCAACAGTTGCAGATAAACTAGTTCATGAAGTCTTCTGTCGTTTTGGAGTACCTTTAGAGATTCACAGCGATCAAGGAAGGAATTTTGAGTCTCAAATATTCCAGGAAACTTGCCGAGTTATGGGTACTCAGAAAACACGAACAACTTCTTACCACCCACAATCTGATGGAATGGTAGAAAGATTTAATCAGACATTGGAGAGGTACCTAGAAAAAGTTGTGGAAAAACGGCAACGAGACTGGGAAAGGCACATACAACCGTTTTTGTTGTCATATCGAAGCGCTGTTCACGAAAGTACATCAGTGACACCAGCTTTCGCAAACTTTGGGAGAGAATTGCGGCTGCCTGCAGACCTGATCACCGGAATACCACCTGATGCCCCACACAGTATAACCGATTATGCAAATGACTTGCGGAACAAAATGAATGACATTTATGAGCACGTCAGACAGACGGGCCAGCAAACGTCTGAGAAGATGAAAACACGGTATGACCGCAAAATGAACAACAAGGGCTTTGATGAAGGTTCACTAGTGTGGTTACACAATCCAGTTCGCAGCAAAGGGAAATCTCCTAAGCTTCAAGCTAAATGGGACGGACCGTACCGGATTGTGACAAGGATCAATGACGTAACCTACCGGATACAGAAAGGTGCCAGAGGTACTCCTAAGATTGTCCATGTGGATCGACTGGCGCGTTATTATGGGGCCAATAATGCTCGGGACGAGCATGTCTTAGGAGGGGGCAGTGTTGCGCGCCACTATTAATGTCTTGTACATGGCAACACTAGTTACACTAGCGCCCCCTAGTGTCGAGTAAATGAAAGTATTGCGCGCCACTATTAATGTCTTGTACATGGCAACACTAGTTACACTAGCGCCCTCTAGTGTCGAGTAGCAGAACTAGGAGAGTCGAGATCCTTCCAGAAATTTCGGGACCGATATGTACTCGAACATTCTAGATGTCGCTACAGTAGAAGGTTCTGGAAACTATCTGAGGCCCTATATAAGGCCGGTATAGACCACGACCGGGGCAGTATTGAATTGGCGATACAAGAGAATACTTCGAAGCGAAATAACGGCGAACTGTGTTTTATTATTAGTGTGATTTTAGATTGTAATTAGTGTTGTGTAATTAAAGTGTCAATTTTGGTAATTCAATCGGCAGTTTTTAATTGTCTCGAACCCCAAGCTCGTAACACAATTAAAGAGATTTTTCTTTAATTTTATATAAACAAAATACGAAGAAACTTTTTCCCCGACTTATTAATATCTATTAATGCATTTTGTTAAGCCAACAAATATTGGATCTGTTGTGTAATTCTAATTTTCAACTGTTTTCTACCGACTGCTCAATTAAACTATGCATGTTCTTTTTTATGTATGTTACCTCATAACTTTTTTCTGGGTGAACCAATTTCGGTGATTCTTTTTTATTTGAAAGCTGGTGCTTCTCATGTGGTCCCA